CCACCTAATCTACATGTATGCACACCGTGGACTGAAACAGCACAAACCTTCAACAAAGTGGATAACCTCGAGGATTTTTAAAAGGTCTAACGAGGAGGAGTTCGTAGCTGACCTGGAAAGAGTCCCATGGTCAACCATCAATGTCTTTGACTCAGTACAAGACATGGGGGCTGAATCTCATTGCTTTGGGTCTTAAGGTGCTAAGATTGATTTGTAAGGTTATACGATCTCTTTCCCTTGAATGGTCAATTGTAGATACAGACGCTTTTTTCTAAATCAAGCCAACGCAGCCACAGGTCGTCTACACGGCTCTGCTTCTATATTTCATTAACCACCAAGGTAAAATTAGTTCTGTATTGTATGCATACTATTAGACAAAACAGACATTTCCATAAATCTTACATCTTACAGACACGGCTCATTAACCACTGTGCTGAATTTGCAAACAGGTGTGAAGACTTGGAGGCACGTGGCTCTCCTATAACATAAACAGGCAAAGCAGGAAAAAAATGGACGGGCTTTTTTCAAATATTACATGTTACATCTTACAGACACGGCTCATTAACCACTGTGCTGAATTTACAAACAGGTGTGAAGACTTGGAGGCACGTGGCTCTCCTATAACATAAACTGTGAGGGTAGGCAGGAAGAAAAAAAAGGGCAGGCTTTGTTTCAAATGTTACATGTTACATCTTACAGACACGGCTCATTAACCACTGTGTTGAATTTACAAACAGGCGAGGGTGTGAAAACTTGGAGGCACGTGGCTCTCCTATAACATAAACTGTGAGGGTAGGCAGGAAGAAAAAACGGACGGGCTTTTTCTCAAATATTACATGTTACATCTTACAGACACGGCTCATTAACCACTGTGTTGAATTTACAAACAGGCAAGGGTGTGAAGACTTGGAGGCACGTGGCTCTCCTATAACATAAACAGGCAAAGCAGGAAGAAAAAATGGACGGGCTTTTTTCAAAATATTTATACATGTTACATCTTACAGAGAGGTCAGAGGTCAGGCAAGCCACGGCACGCCCTGAGTTTCTGCTCCGTATTCATACCCGTATTTCAAGGCTTGAAAGCCCGCATCTACCGACTTTTATGCCCGATTGTACAGTTAAAAACTGCTGATTTAATTCTACGTGAGATCAGCCACAGAGAAGAAATCTTGATCCTGTACCACAGCGAAGATACGCAAAAACACCCAAGTCTTTCCAAGCAAGCTTCAACATGGCGTCTGAAGCACAACGCGGCGTCACTCCCGTGTTCCTGAAAAACAGATTGCTGGAGATGATGAGCGAGCCTACACGACAAGAGAGATTTGTGGAGCCTTGGAAAAAGTTGCCGGCTATGGTTCCATCGAAGGTGCACAAAGGATCAGAGGTCTTTGGCGGATCTATCCCCAAACAGAAAGCGCTCGTATCGCGATATCGCCATATTACTTCATGGCGTCACCCTACGACAACGGCACTACCAGCCTTACAGCGACAATTCTTACGTTGTAAAAGAACCAATTGATGTGCCTACAACAAGAATCTAAGTGAGATTCCCCTTGCCTACAGCAACGACGAAATCAAGGAATGCTTTCTAAACCTGGGGTGTAAATTCCACAGCAAGATCATTGACGAAAGAGATCGTGATGAAAATAAACGGCTAACCAGGTGGAAGACAGGTAGAAGATTCTTCCACATAGAAATTCCTAAACAGCCATTACCTCCCATCATCACCATGGGTCCATTTCGGGCAAAGGTTTATCATAACGAACAGAGAGAAACCGAAAGGAAACAAGCCATTGACTGTAAGAACTGTAAGCAGCCTGGGCACACTATGCCCAGCTGCCAAGAACCACAGCGATGTTTTGACTGTGGATTACAAAGTCATAAGAGAGGCGACCCCTCCTGTCTACACATTAATGTGTAGACAGGAGGGGTCGCCTCTCTTATGACTTTGTAATCCACACGACGACCTTTCGGACTGACCTCATGTGCTATGGACCTGGCTGGGACTATGGAATTTTGATTTTAGACTTTACAAATGGCTGTGACGTAGTCAAGCCAACAAAAGGTACGGTCATGGATTTGAATGATGTATCATTACTATCACTAAATGTTCGTGGACTCCTCGAAAAACAAACAAAAGGAGGTCCTTATTATCCTATTTTAAAACCAAAAAGCTGATGTAGTTTTCTTTCAAGAAACTCATTTGACCTCAGAAACAAAAGACATTTTAACTAAAGAATGGCAAGGTCCTTGCTTTTGGTTTCAGTTGTAGCAGGGGGCTGGCAATATTGATTAAACCTACTGTCAAATTCACATTACTAGACTCTAAGTCCATACAATTAACGAGACTGATTTGTATTTAGTCAATATTTATGTCAATATATATTAAAAGAAAGATTTCCTTATAAAATTGTCTGATTGGTTAAATAGTTGTGACCGAACTTAATTTGCGGTGGTGACATGAATTGTCTGCTTAATCCAGTAATTGACAAAAGGGGGGGGGATAGACACTGCAGAAAGATCTGCTAGATCCCTGAAAAAGCTATGCTCAAATCTAAAAATTATCGACGCTTATAGAGTAGTTAATCCCACCACTCGTCAATTCACTTGGCGTACTAACCTTCTTTAAAATGTGGCCTGTAGGCTAGACTACTGGTTTATACACAAAACCCTTGAAGAAAAAAATATTAAATGTGACATGAGACCTGCTATACATACTGACCATCAAGCTATCTTCCTATAACTAAAATTCCAAAACTATACCAGAGGCCCCGGAATATTCAAACTTAATGTCCTTTTCTTAAAAGACAAGGAATACATAGAGAAAATCCATGATATAATACAACACAACAAGAAACTACCAATAACACCTCATCAAAGAGAGATAAATTAGACATATGTATGATTAAAATTAACT